TTCCTGCCATAGGGTTTTTAGCATGGAGAAATACACAGCAAGAGGTTTTTCTCCCTGTTTCATACTTATCACCTGACTTTTTAATTGATAGACTCTGACTTCATTTTGCTTATGAGAGTAGGTTTCAGTCACTCTATCCCAAATCTCCTTAGCAGTATTAGCTCATAGGAAATTTTTTGCAATTTGAGGTAACATAGAATTACACAGCCAGGACATTACCATATAATTCTCTTGCACCCATCGGGAAGAGTTTGTATCAGGTTTCTTCTCCTCCTAGTGAGATACCCTAATTTTTCACAGGCATCAATAACCATCTTAGCTGATTGTGCCCACTCCAAATAATTTGTACAATCAAGTTTTACTGTAGTAATGATCCCAAACCCAAAAATATCACTACTACCCCCAACACCCAGTCCCACAGTACCGGTAGATTTCATCTCAGTATTCCAACTCTCCATCTTACTTCAAACAGTTCAACACTAAGAAAAAAATAGATTGGAGACCTTCAAAAAATAATTTAATATCACACACACAGAAACCAACCCTTCCGGAAGAAGAAAACCCTAGCTGGAGAGAAATCTCTCTCCTCCCCATGCCTCCCAACAGAGAGAAGAGTGAATCGATCACTCTAGGAGGCTTAGAAAATTCTAGAAACCACCGCCCTCTTCAGAAAATCAAAAGAAAACTAACAATACCTGGGCGCCCAAGATCAGATAAAAAACAAAGAGTCCAACTTTTCTGGGACTCTTCCCCTTACTCCAGTTCTTCCTAATTTTGATGCCAAACAGTGGATCACCTTCCTGATGACTAGATCCCACCAAAAAATCCAAGAACTAGGCAATCTATAACAGATCGATCAGCCCTTTACTACTTCATGCAGTCGGCTGATCTGGGGCTGCATGAGAATGCTTCAAGAAACCCTAGCCGATGCTCTGATACCAAGTAGAAATCTTCTGAATTAAAAAATATGAATGAAAAGTAGTTTCTTGAAGAGAGAAGGAGAAGAAGAGAAGAAGAGAAGTTGAAAAGAAAAGAGAGCAAAAATGTGGCTGCCCCCTTCACTTATTATTTATACTAAAAATAATAGAACAGTACAAAGACAACTATGCCCTTATAGGGCGGCAAAACATAAAACAGCATGTATAACACTCAAAAACATAATAAAATKTGGACTCACATAACTACTGTGGTCCCCACCTCCTATCTAACAACTAACATAATACATCTACTCAGAAAAACATCAATGATATCTTCAAGAGAATGTAAGGGGCAAGCTGCTTTGGAGGATTTTTCCAGATGCTATCCTGTGGTCTTTATGGAAGGAAAGGAACAGTTAGATTTTTTGACAATCATTATAATGATATAGCTTCAGTCAAGAACAAAGTTTTAGGTACTCTATGTTCTTGGTTAAGTGTGCGATGAGCTTGGTGTTCAGATTTTATCTTTTCTGCAAGCTGGACCTTTTTTTAACTAATCTGTCGGATCTTTTTGTAAATTCCCAATGTACAGGCTCTCATTGTACATGGGCTGATACATTTGGCTTTCTTTTTGCAATACAATACTTTAACTTCTTCAAAAGAAAAAAAAAGATCCAAGACTGGGCCTCACAGTGGGTAGCCAAAATGATAATAATTCCACTGTAGGACAAATCAACCTAACTCCCAAGGATTGTCATCTGCCAAATCAGAACTTGCTGATATGCTTTCTTCCATCTGGAATAGGACTTCAGAGGCCATGAATGATCTCCACCATGAATCTCCTAAAATATCTACTAATATATTGGCTCAATTGGACAGTGTATTTATATTCTAAGGCCAAAGATCTAGCAGCTGTTTTAAAATGTGGGGGCATCCATGGTCCCACACCTTCATTCCTCATCCACCCAATCGCTACTTTTTAAACTTCTTCTGCCTCCAACATAGAATGTGAAACCTCCTGACATTACGAGTATATTTGATCAAATATATAATTCCATGTATAAGTGAATGCTTTAGAAAACATGCATTATAAGCTATTCAAACTCTTTTTCTAATGAATGATGGTAAACGTCATCAAGGGAAGAAGAAGAAGAAATTGTTTGGTCCATCAGATGGGGGGAATCAAAATCTTCTTGATTATGATTTCTAAATATATTAAATTTTAAGCATTTGTTCTGCTAAACTGAGTGATATGTAATATCCATTTTGTTCTGTCAGCTGATTTAAAAACTGCATCGATCAATACAATTTATTGAGTAGTTAAGCAATGGTACTTCCTTATTTAGATATTTTTTTGATGAATACTTCCTTATTTAGATGTTGAATGTTTATAAATAGAACTTGACTGTTGGTATTTGGATATTGTTCTCATTTCCTTTTCAGGGAGCATCAGAGTCATTGAATATGCCTGTGGCTTTTATCAGTGTCATCCTGCTTCCAATTGTAGGGAATGCTGCAGAACATGCAAGTGCAATTATGTTTGCAATGAAGGACAAACTTGTGAGTGCCTTGAAGAATGCAGTTGGTTTGTTCTCTTCCATTTTATTGGTTAATACTTAATAGTAATATTTACTTCTTTTTGCAGGATATTACACTAGGAGTTGCTATTGGATCATCAACACAGATATCAATGTTTGTTGTAAGGCTTTGAACTACTCTATAATATTTACTGTAATGCAAGTAATGCACAAATCAACAATGTCTTATCTCAACTATTTGGTTCAGCATGGATGCTATTCAACATTTTCCTTTTTTGCTATAAAAGATATGAGATCCATATTTCCATGTGTCTCATGAATACATTCTATGCACCTATTAACACCTCCCCAACTTATTGCTACTTTGTCCATAAAAAAGCATGTCAAGTTTGTAAAGCTTTTCTTTTGATAAATAAGAGCTGTTTTCCAGTCACAGAAAATGACATGTTTGAGTTGTTTATCGATTAATTAAATGGAGAAAAGTGTTAACCTATAATTTTTGTGGTATTTGTAATTGTAGATTCCCTTCTGTGTGGTCGTTGGATGGTTTATGGGTAGACCGATGGATTTGAATTTTCAACTCTTTGAGACTGCAACTCTCTTTATTACAGTTCTAGTAGTAGCATTTATGCTGCAGGTTTGTTCTTGGACTTCTAAATTTATTCCTGTTCCATATGAAATGAATTGCAATTGTGTATGCATGGTTTTAGATTTTTGTTTTACCATAAAGGTACTGTTGTAAGTGGATCCAGTATTTTGTTAATCAATAACAGAATAATTTCCTAATGATCAAGCAAGGGTTGCGATTTAACATGTTTCATGGATATATACCTGGTATTCTTTACAGAAGAGCACCATTGGCATAATTGCTGTATTTTCAATATTTTTAGAAGGAATGAAAGCTATCAGCTATTACACACTATTTTCCATTGATGGGATAAATCACCTGCTATCATTTTACTGATGATGGTAACGTCGCCATTTATGATCCTATTCTTATTTTGGTTATTATATCTCTAACCAGACCTATAAACTTGAATTTGGACTTATTTGGAGGAGGTATCCAGGAGAAGGGAGGTGGTATAAATGTAAAAAAAAATGATTCTAAAGAAGAATAGCCCCTCTGATTTGAATTATTGAATAGGATGTCAGTAATGGAGATTGTGATGTAAAATGCAAGCAGATTTTTCTTCATCTATATAGGGCCTAGGTACGCAATTTTTTTAATTGTTAATGGATCAGAGAAAATTTATTATTAGAAGATGAAAGGCTAGAGGCTATTACCCAATGTTGGTCCCATCTATCTAGGGTCTTGGGAGGGGTAGACTGGATAAGGTATCTAACCTTTGGCATTTTGTGCACAAAGTGGCCAGTCTTAGACTTGAACCCGCATTCTCATGCTTTCCAGCCCGAGATTTACGATTAGAACCTAATAAAGAGTATTCTTCTCATTAGAAGATAAGGTGAACATCTAAGTCTAATAACAGGAGAAACCAAAAAATGTATGACATATACATCAGCCCCACCCTTGTTACACAAACTCCTAATAGTCTACTCAGATAGGCAAGGCCCCAAAATCAGTCTATCTCTATTTACTCCCTCTCTAGCAAGTGAATCTGCTAAAGAAATTGTTGATCCTCTTAACCATCTGAATGAGGTATTTGTTCTAAAGGCCAAAGATCTCATGTCCTATATAAAATGCTGTAGTCTTGGAAAACCGACAGGCCTATACCCTTATGCCTTATCCACCCTATATTGGTAGGAATGGCAACAGGGCAGAGACCATACTCCCTGTCCCCAAATTTTTTAAATTAAAATTATTTTTTGAAAATAGATTTACTTACAATAAGGTTTTTTAATTGCAAAAATATTTTAAAAATATTTTGACATATATAATATAAAAAATATAATAATGTTATATATGTATATATTTAATATATAATATATATCTAATATATATAACCGGGGTTGGGGTAGGGCAGGGGATTCACTCCCCATCCCTGGTTGGGTATCACTATCAATCCCTGTCCTTGCCAAGGCTCCCCATCTCTGACCCCATCAGGTTGGGGAAGCTAGGTATTTGATGGGGACGGGGAAAATTGCCATTCCTATATATTGGATTTAGAATCTCCTTCCACCTCCAGTCTTCTGTAGCCTTGTGGTGGACTTGCCTATGCCTTTAAAGGATAGGATGGAGAGATGAAGATGAGYTCATGTGGATTCCCAATCTCCATTGGACCATAGAAAGCTAGAATCCAAAAATCCCTTGTTGGATTGAAGCTTTTGCATGGCGTCTTGCTTTGGATGATATTTTTGCAGTTAACCACCTGAAACCAAGAGATATTTGAGATGCTACAGGTATGTATTGTGCATGAAAATCGAGTAGAATGTAATTTATTTATTCATTCATGCTTGCCGGATTTCATATGAGACTCTTTCTTCATGAATTATAATATAGAAAGTTAAATATGAATGCACCAGAAGATATTTTTTCTACTTGGCCTGGACTGGGAAGCGAAAAGATAATTATGTTTATAGGGATCATCATCCCTTTTTTTGGCTGGTTGGAGAGAGAACTAATTTTTTTTTAGGAAAAGTATCACTATCAGAAAAAAATGTTTGCCAATATATGTGCTTTGGTTGTGGAGTGGTCATTTCCCTTTTGTTGAGAGAGATATTGTATTTGGGTTGTTGGAGGTTACAGGGGTATATTTGCAGTATTGATTAATTATGGGGACATGTATGTATTAATGGGAGAAAAAAAGGGCTTATGTGTAATTCTGATATAATTTGGCCTTTTGCTTGTTTAAGCTAGTGGTTGTATGGGATTAGGGTTGAGTGAGAGAGAGAGAGAGAGAGTTGTATCTCTTGTTCTCATAGTGGATATTTTTCCTCTCCTCCCGTGGATGTAGGCTATCAAGCTGAACCGCGTTAAATCTTGGTGTTCTCTCTATTTGTTCTTATTTTCTCCTTGATTTGCTATTCTATTTTATGTTAGTTGACATGGTATCGGAGCAGGTTGTTCTATAATCTGTGTTTGCTCCATGCTCACTCACGAATCTCTCAAGGGCTGCTGATTTTTGGGTGCAGGTGATGTGAAGAAGGTCTAGTAGGGTTTCTTCTCATAGTTGATCTATCTAGGGTTTCTTTTTGGAAGGTTGATACTCACTGCTACAAGGGATCGAACCAATTTTAGTTTGCTTTCTTGGTGATTAGTGATGGTTTTTGACCATCACAACTGCTATGACAGGTGAACAGTGAGGTGTGTATCCCTCTAGTGGGTCAAATCCATGAGAGAATGATATGGCAGAAATATTTTTGGGTTAGTGATTGATGTTGTGAAGAGTTTTTTTTTTTTTGAAAGGAAATGACTAAGAAAGAAAAAAAAATAAAATGAAAAAATGAGTGAAAAAAGATGGAAGAGGCCTCATTAAATGCTGCAAATTCCTATCATGGCTACAGTCAAACAATGTAGGCAATGCGTTCTTTGCGACATCATCGTCATTGGCCAATGCTGTGAAGAGTTTAATAGTGGTATGATAAGTGATTTTGAGTTGTGAAGGTGTTTAGGTTGCTGCTATTTCATGTTCATTTGAGGTAGTAGTTGACTACTACGAAATCTCTTCATGTAGTAGTCGACTACAAGGAACAGGATACTGCTAGTAGTCAACTACTATGAAATCTCTTCATGTAGTAGTCGACTACTAGCAAAAGGGTGTTGTTAATATCTTTGGAATATAAACATCAGTGCCTCAGGCTACAGTATTTTTTGAGTTGGAAAAGAGGCTTTGATGCCTCAAGTTGTGCATGTTTGTGAGTTGGTGATGGTTTGTGGTGTGGTGATAACTTTGTTGGTGAGTGTGTAAAGCTCCTGTTGTATTCCAAAATAGTGTAGTGATGTGGTAGTTTGTGGTGTAATGGTGGATTCTTGGTGAACGTGTGAAGCTCCCTTGATGTTTGAGAAAAGTGTAATGATGTGATTATTTGTGGTGTATTGGTAAATTGTTGCTTCAGAGGTTCCTACAACATCTCAAGGTTCATGGCTACTGCTTTAGAGGTCCATTTGCCTCATGGCCACTCCCAATCACCTTCTAAGATTTCATGTTCTGAAAAAAAAAAATACAATATGAAGGATAAAAGGTCACACTCACACTACCTATGGTGTCTTGATGTCTCCCTTTCTTGTCGTAGGGGCAAGAGAACCATCAACAAAGGATATTTTGTCTCGGCTAGAAAGGAGTTGGTTAGAGGTGAACAAGTGTGAAACATTTGTTATGTAGTTAAAGGCACTGGAATCAATTACCCAAGGGATTTTATGAGTACCTGAGATAAAAGCATGATTTGTAGTGGCACAAATACCTAAGTGTGCATATGCAAAGGAAGGAACAATCTTTGATGAAGTAGACGTTGTTGCAGTAGACTCCAAGTGACCGATTATTCGGCCATACTTCTCATACTCAGCCTTGACGGTGCAAGTTGCTCTCCCACTAACTTCTCACCACTCTGTCCCTGTTCACTCTATGAGGAGGTGTCTATTTGCATTTCCACCTTTTCCCTTCTCAAACCTTTTTCCACTGTTTTCTTTCTTGAGTCTGGCAGGAATGAGCTTTGGGTGCAGCTTCCAATAGGTGTCTTTAGTGTGTTTATGCTTCTTGTAGTACTCACAGATAACATCTTTCTTCCTAGTGTTGACCTTCGGGCATCATCCCGACATTAGCATAGTGATCAACTTGCGACTCTATAAACTGAATCTGTCTTCTGCTCCTCACTACTCACCATAGCATAAGCCTGAGATAAAGTCACCTCATCCTTTGCCAAAACATTTTGCCTCACAATATCATTGAGTGAATGGATGCAAACAAAAATCAAAACATGGTTTTACTAGTGTAGGTTTGCTATTTCAAGCAAAGAACTGCTCTTCAATCACTCAAAATTTCATAGAACCCAGCCAGATGGGAGAAGGAGATAAAGTTCAGCTGCTCCTTCCAGATGTTTCAAAACTCTGTCCAACACAAACCACCCTTAATAGAAATCAAAGAGCTCCCCTTTGATCTCCAAGTGCCAGCTTCAAAGTGTCTCTATGACCTGTAACAAGATTTCTCCAGTTATCTAGGGTTTTTGGAAAAAAAAACTCCATGAACCTTCCCTGGGCTTTAACTAAGGATGAAAATCTCCACAAAACCTCTTAATTGGGCTACATAAGCTGCTAATTAATTAGTCAATCAGTTCTCCACACACACTGTGTATGGGCTAAGAAAGAAGAAAGATGTTGAAGGTGAAACCCCACTTTGATACCAAGTTGTGAAACATGCCTGTAGTAAATCAGAAAATATAGAAAAAGAAAAGAAAGAAAGAGGAGTGGAAGGTTTCAACAAAAGCTTCCGGAAGAAGAAGAGGAAGGAAGAGAGAAGAGAAGATGTTCGATCCCTTCTATAGTCTCCTCAAGATGTCTTTTATTTCTTAATGTAAAACAGAGTACAATTCCTTAGATGCCCTTAATAGGGCAGTCAACACTAAAGAACTAATAAAATAATCAAAAAGAAGCCCATAACTAAATGAACATAAACTTAAAAGAAATAAAACCACTAGCGCCCATTTGGCCCATTCTCACTACAAAACCCTTGGCCATCAACCTTGCCTTATACCTTTCCATTGAGCCGTCAACACGATGCTTAATAGTAAACACCAACTTGTATCCTACAAGTTTTTTACCCTTAGGAAGGTCAATCAAATCCCACATGCAATTCTTATGAAGAGCATCAATTTCCTCTAGCATAGCATTTTTCCACTTAGGAGAATTTAGGGCCATTGTAGCAAACTTAGGAACAAAACACTAGAAATAGCAAAAAGGAAAAAATGGTAAGGAGGCAAGTTGCTACAAGTGGCGAAATGACAAATGAAGTGTTTAGTGGTGCATGAATGGGTACCTTTCTAAACAACAATAGGGAGATCAAGGTCACAATTAGGGTTACAAAGGGAATCATTACATGTTTCAGTAGGGGGTGTACTACTCTTCAGGTTTGCCTCTTGAGAAACTATAGGTTCAGGGGGAGCAATCTCAAGTTTGTCTTCATTTGGTGATGTATGTTGATCTAGGGGACAGGAACAAGATCTAGAACAAGAGTAAACACGTTGGACAAGAGCACGAGTAGGAGAACGAGGATGATGTGGAGCAATAGGGGAATCAAAGACTCGGTCGGGTGTAGTGATGGAAACAAGAATATGCTTCTTCAAAGTACGATTCTCTCCGTGAGAAGTAGAAAAGAATGGTTAATGCTCAACAAAAGTCACATCCATGGAGATGAAAGTGTGATGAGAAGAGGGATCATAGCACTTATATCCCCTTTCAGTGTGATGATAAGATTTTATGGACATTTATTCTCTTTGCCATGTGCTGCGAGATCTATATTTGAGGAGAAAAAGAGAAGTATGAAAGAGACAGTGACTGTTATCAGTTCAACAGTTATTGGTTGGGTGCTGCTGCTTCCTGAGTTTCAAGGGTTGAGGAAGGAAGATTTTGGTGCTGATTTCTGGATTTCTTTGAATGCATAAAGAGTGTTGATGTTCTGAGTTGTCTTGAAGTGATTGTTTTGTTTTGAAGTGATATTGTAATGATTCTTTTTGTTTTCTGGTGGTGGTGACATCTTGTCCCCTAGTTATGTTCGTACTATTTTCCTTTAGGCAATAATTTTTTTTCTTTATTTATCTTCAAAAAAGGACCTAGGGATATCTCCTCAATTTCCAGAATTCTCAAGTTTGGTTTTCGGGTCTCAAGGAATGTCCCCTCTTGATGTGGGGGATGTCCCTAGTTTCTGGGTTTTCACTTGTCAGACCAAATCAACCCTTAGGGGTCGTCGTCTCCTGGAAGGATGAGGTCATCTTCAGAGTTACAGAATTTTCACAGTTTGGCCCAAAGCCCTTGAGGGAATGTCCCCTCACTTATAGGGGATGACTCATGCTTCAACCCAGAAATTTAACCAATATTTCCTTGTTTAAAGCCAATATAAACTGAACCTAAGACCTTCCTATCTCATTCCAAAGACCAAGGAGATTTAGTCTATCGATTCTAGGTATAAACTTTGAGCCCTTAGCAAATGCACATGATCTGATTACATTGAATAAACAATAAAACCTATTCTAAATCTTCAAATGGTTCTTCCGTGCACGTGAGTTGCTCTTTTTCAGATATCAGCCAATTTGAGTCTTTATGTCTGTAATAGATTTTGGGTTTTCTTTTGGGGATGTTTATGTTTTTGTTTGGGTCATTTGGTTGTGTGTCTGTTTTGGGTGATATCTTATCACCTTTCTATTGTATTTCTTTTCCTTTTTAATGAAGTTTTCTCTTTATTCTTCAAAAAAAAAACTCGGTTGCACTCATCTAATTCTGACAAATCTCTGAGATCAATGCTGTTTGTGTTGTTAGATCCATTGGAATGATCTAACAGTTTGATAGTTCACTAGGTTTCCAAGGTAGAGTCTGTTGGAAGGATATGAAAAGGACTCGTAAGAGGAATAAACTGAGGAATTAATTAATTTTTGCCACTTAAACATCTTTCATCCCTTCTATATCAATTTAGATTCCATAGATTACACTGTAATGATGTATTTTCATAGGCCATGCTCTGGAGGGTAATGCTTGGTCTGACAGATATTCTGGATGTAAATCCCTTGGCAATTTTGGATCAAGAGTAGGGGTGTCAATTTTTCGGGTTCAGGGCAGGTTCGGTCGGGTGTAGGATCAGGTTATGGTTTTGGAAGTCTAACCCAAGTTGGGTTCAAGTCAGGGTCAACCTGTTTGGTTATGATACCCCCTACATATAGAAGGTATTGTTGCAATTTTGTACGATCTTACTCCACAAACCTAAGGGTTTCATTTCATTTCATTTACCCTCTTCGAGTTTTTTCTGGAAGAGGTGACTGGAGTTTGCAGAAAAGATGACCAACGAACTGTATAGCACTGAAGAGAAACTCTCTTTTGGAATTTCACTGATTAGTTAGTCTTCTTGTATTTTTCTTGTCCCATTTTTCTTATGGGATGTTTCTTATGGTTCAAACTTTGAAGTGTCGAGGCTTTACAGAAAAAATAACTGTTGAAAATCACAAATAGGTGACGTGGGAAACCCTGGATATACTTCTCTTTGGTTTCATGGATCATAAAAGGAATTTACTTATTCTGTTTTTTGAAAATTCTTCAATGTATCATTTTCTTCTTTGCCTAACCAAGTTTGGAGCAAGACATCTTCCAAAAACCAATTCTGTCTTTACAGAATATACTAAACCCTGGATATACTTCTCTTTGGTTTCATGGATCATAAAAGGAATTTGCTTATTCTGTTTTTTGAAGGTTCTTCAACATATCGTTTTCTTCTTTGCCTAACCAAGTTTGGAGCAAGCCATCTTCCAAAAACCAATTCTGTCTTTACAGAATATACTGTTAATGTATCTATTGGAAACAACCACCTTGATGCATCTGTGTATCACGACCAGCTTCAAGAAACATAAGGCAGGTCGGGTTGGCATCATGTTCTGTCTTATAGGGGTGGGGCGGGTTTGGAAATTGATCCTTGTTAAATCAGGGTGGATTGGGTTCAGGCAGAGATAGTAGAGGGTCAGGTTAGGGTTGAGGCAAACACTCAACCTGACGCGTTGGCATCCCTAATCAAGAGCTTATTCCAGTAGGCAAATACATGAAACCAATTTTGTCATTGTTCTCTATTAAGAGCCATAACTAGATATGATAATAGGCCTTGGTATTCCTTATGACCAAGTAGTAAATAAAGAAATGCCAAAACTAATCTTCTAGTTGCTATCAGAAACCTACATTTCATTTTAGGTAGTTCTGCATCTTACTCATGTATAAGTGTCATATTGATTATCAATACATGTGAATTATTACCATTACTTTCTGTCATTGCAGGAAGGGACTTCAAACTATTTCAAAGGACTGATGCTGATTCTATGTTATCTCATTGTTGCTGCTAGTTTTTTTGTACATGTAGACCCTTCAAACGGTGAGTAGCAGGAAATTTCTTCTATATGATCGTGTTTTCTTGCATTCTACCAAAATGATTATGCAAATGTTTTCCCCCCAATGTTTTGAGTTTGAATGGTTGTCACCATAACGAATATGGTTCCAATTCATATGTTTAGAGGTATAAACACTGGCAATGCTATTTTTTTATTTCCTTTTTGTGTGTGTATGGGGGGGGGGGGTGTTGTTGCATGTTGTATGAATAATATCAGAGAGAAAACATGTAGTTTTATACAAATAACGAAGAGTTATGATTTTCATATAACCGGCCAGGAAGAATTTTCTTTGGTACACGTTCATTATATATCTAAAGAGTTAGAATTATAGGACAAACATGACATTGGATTATGGCCAAATCAGTGTCCCTCWGAATGACTGAACTAACTGCATTGTGGATCATCCAGTTCAGTAATCCCTGAAAATCCTTTGTTAATTCCTAAATGGAATCATGGATAATGCAAGATTTGGCTATAATCCAATATCAAGTCCAATTTGTTAATTCTTGGACGTGGCGGTGGTCTTGGAAAAAATACAGCACTGGAGTAATACTTTGAAGAAAAATGAGAAGTGCTTCAGAGTGGAACTGCGATTTAATTCCAAAGGTTGGTTTATTGTGCTTACCGAATGGTTTGGGCGGAAGAAAGCAGCTGATATATATACCGATGGGAAAACAGAGCATGGACTGGACTTCTTTTGCAGAGATGTTACAGGAATTTCTGTGGAGAGGCGACAATGGAGCTAAGACAGCTCAGACAATGCTGGCTATCAGATCAAAGCCACCAAAGGAAAATGGCAAGGGGGATGGGGTTGATGGTAAACAGAGCTTCTTAGAGTGGCACAAGAAATTTGTGGTGTATGCCAATAAAAAGCTGGAAAGAAGTTTTAGAAGGTATTAAAAAAAAACTTTATCCTGAAGGCAGGCTGAACTTAGTCCAATTCCAGGTAGGTAAAGCTCTATTGGAATTGGTAGGTCTAGACAAGGAGATATTCATGCCCTCTCAATACAAACTTCAGAGGGTTTAGTGGTCGTTGAGTGAAAATCTTAGGACTCCTATTTTACACCTGGTCATATGGCAGACAGCTCAGACAATGCTGGCTATCAGATCAAAGCCACCAAAGGAAAATGGCAAGGGGGATGGGGTTGATGGTAAACAGAGCTTCTTAGAGTGGCACAAGAAATTTGTGGTGTATGCCAATAAAAAGCTGGAAAGAAGTTTTAGAAGGTATTAAAAGAAAACTTTATCCTGAAGGCATGCTGAACTTAGTCCAATTCCAGGTAGGTAAAGCTCTATTGGAATTGGTAGGTCTAGACAAGGAGATACTCATGCCCTCTCAATACAAACTTCAGAGGGTTTAGTGGTCGTTGAGTGAAAATCTTAGGACTCCTATTTTACACCTGGTCATATGGCATGTTCAAGAAGATAACAGACTTCTGCGGAGGAAGCATTAAGGAGCTGGACACCTCAGACTTGAGTGCAGCAACCTTGAATCTAGAGGAAGTAAAGCCTAAAGCTTTACTTAGATCGATGAATCTGATTGTTGATGAAGTAACCTACAAGATTTGGTTACTTTTATTAGTGGTAGCTCAGATGTGGAAGAGTCTGCCAAAGGTAGGAGACGATGCCGGCGGGGAAGTGGTCAGGACACATGACAATCTGGGATAGGAAGATGAACGACATTCAAATTTTATAAAGGAAACCCACCATTCCTTCTTTTGAGAGGTGGTAGACAGGATACTGATTTCTTGGGCAAATCTAGGCCATCCAAATCAGATTGAAGAGTCAAAGTTAAATCCTTCACTGAAGTTGTGGTAGGTAAGAGTGGTGAGATACCCAAGGAATTTGAAGGGGCGCCAAGTGCCAAACCGGTGGTCAAACCGAGGTGTGTGGGTGGTCCATCTGACCCTACCTCCAACTCATGTGATAACTTAGAAGGTCAGGTGACAGAGCAAGTTTGAGTGCTAGGGGATGATATCTTCGATCTATCATCATCCTCCTTGATGTCTAAGAACGAAAGTCGACACGCAACATCAAAGCAGGGCACCAACACCCTTTCCTTCGCCTTAAATAGGTCTAAGAGGCTAAATCTAAGTTCAAAATTTCAATGCATATCAAGCTGTATCGGCCAATACATATCTTATCGTGGGCTTCCCGATACACCCCTACAGGGGATGTTTCGGGGTCTAACCCGGTTCAGGGGGTAGATGGGCCTTAAACCAACCCCTCCGGACCAGGTTGGAAGAAAAACTAAAAAAGAAAATGATGTGAGCCACAATACAGTCCGATATGCCGGTAGCCAGTGTCACTTCAAAACGCTACCAGAGCTTGAAGTATGGATGATTACACACTTGGAACGTAGCTTTTGTTTGTAGACTCCTTGAAAGAAACTTCTCTAGAGCCAATGGAAATTGGATTTGATTTGCCTGCTTTAGACTTGGTGGTGGGCTCTATAGCTAGAAGAGAATAGTTGGTACAACCAACAGAGGCACTAGATCAAGGTGTTCATTCTTGGGATTTGGGTTTTAACACTGACCTTCATAGTGAAGCTCAAGAGGAACAGTCAATCAGTGCTATCCATGCTTTACCAAACAAGTATGGAATTCTGACAAAACTTGTATGTAAGAAAGCTTACTCTAAAGTGGAGCAGGGATTTTTTAACCCTTTCCCCCCCCCCTTCTGTTCCCTTGCCTGTATTTTTGTTTCCTTCCCCTAAGGCTTCCTCTAACTTTGCCTTCACTTCTGTCAGCAAGGATAAGGATAGATTGTGGGCTAATGAGATTGTTAGCATTCATCAGCTGTCGACTGATGGTTAGGATATTGGAGTGCTGAGTTGGGCTACAAATGCTTCTCCTTGGAGGGCAATACATGTTGTCCTCCCTCTTTTTCTACCTTTTGTCAAGTACAATATTTGTTCAAGGGACCTTGTTAAATTCTGGGAACATGTTTGGGTGAGTAAGACACCCTTGAAAGCCTTGTTTCCTTCTTTGTTCTCTATTTCAAATTGTAATCACAATGGACTTTGATCGGCGGTCGGTTGAAGGTCTGGAGAGGACAGTAGGGAAGAGAAAAGGTGAGGGGGAATACTGGTTGTAGACAATTTTGGGAGAAGAGCAGAGAAGGGAGTGAGAGAGAGGGAGAGACAGAATGAGGGAGATGACGTGAGAGACCCCTAGAGTCAGGGTTATGTATTAGTGTCTCCCGTGGGGAAGAGTTGTTCCCCTTTTTATAGAGAGGACCCCAAGGTTATAAGGAGAAGGATCTAAAAGGAGACCTTTCCTAGTAGGAAAGGGGATCTTTATCTTTATCTCAGCTATTAAGGGGGCACCATTGGGATTTCGCCACGTGTCCTACGAGATCCTTTAAGGAAAAGGTTTCCTTTCTCTTAAGGATTCTAGCGTGACACGTGTAGGCTATGTCCCTTTACAGATTTTCCTATATACACACGTTGGGACATTCGATCGGCTAATGCGTTTGGATGTCCCTATAAATCATCTTTGAAGTGTTTCGTCACGGCTTGCCACGACTGTGTAGGGTGCAGGTTACCTGTGAACTTATATTGCTGGATTTGGCTTTGTTTATCGTTCATCATGGCATGAGCTACCATTCTATGGTCATCGCAGGATGTTGGTAGTGTATCAAGTTCGTCGCAGAGTTGCGATATCATTCTAGACTAATCACTAGTCTTGGATAGCACACAGTTCTCATCGCAGGTCCCAAAAGGTATTTCATGCTCATCGCAAGTGCGTGAACCTTACGATACTTTGATAAARTGTCGTTGTGCCATTACAAAGGCATCCCTGTTGGGATTTCTCCGTATGGTTTTCTTTTGACATCTTCATCGTAGTCCCAATGATGGTAAACTACATGCACTTACATTGGCCCCCTTGCTTATTGATAAGAGTATTCTTGTCAATAAGCATCTTTTGTGTTTTTCTTTGCCTGTTTGTTGTCGAGTATCTGTGATTAGATGAGGACGGGGGAGTTGATTGATTTGTTATAGATTGCGGTTTCATGGGTGTCCCAAAAGAAAAGACACCGGGTTATTTTATACTTCGTTGGAATGAAGGGCATCTCTTTGTTGGTGTTGTCGTATTGACTTGCAGTTGTTTTCTGGGTTGTTCGAGTCATATACAAAGTGTTGAAGGTATAAGTTGTTGAGTGAGCCGACTTGTGTTTAGTTTATTTCCTTTTAAATTAAGATGTTG